AAAATACAGAAAAAAACAGTAATCTTGCTAAATGTTATTACAATATAAAATAATGGTTTCTATTTTAATATCCATTAAAATATAATTTATTTCTGTGAAGCTGAATTTCCATCAGCCATTACTCCAGTATAAAGTGTCACATGATCCTTCAGAAATCATTCTAATATGCTGATTTATTATCAGTGCTGGAAACTGTTGTGCTGCTTAATATTTTTTTTGAGACCTGTGATACATTTTTTCAGGATTCTTTGATTAATAAAAAGATAAAAAGAACAGCATTTATTCAAAATATAAATATTTTCTAACAATATAAATCTTTGTTCAAAAGTTTGGGGTCAGTGACACATCCTTGCTGAATAAAAGTTTTAATTTCTTTCAAAAATAAAGAATACAAATTTACTGACCCCAAACTTTTGAACTGTAGTGTATATTGTTAGAAAACATTTCTATTTTAAATAAATGCTCTTCTTTTGAACTTTTTATTCATCAAAGAATCCTGAAAAAAAGTATCACAGGTTCCAAAAAGATTTCCTGTATTTTTGATCAAATAAATGCAGCCTTGATGAGCAGAAGAAACTCCTTTAAAAAACATTAAAAATCGTTCTGATCCCAAACTTTTGAACGGTAGTGTATATATATGTATATAACATTTTATCTATTATTATTAAATATATATTATAAAATAAACTTTTATACTTTTATATTGACAGTTTAACATTTTATTGTCAGTTTAACATTTTTATGCCCTTTATGAAAATCCCACAGTTGTCAACTGTGGTTAGATGAGGGAAAAATTGGGCTAGTTTTTGTTAAATTTAAGTGGGTTTTTGGTCTAGAAATTTGTCTCCAACTAAATCAGTTTGAGCAATTGCAAATCACACTGCAAAATACTGGATTGTAATGAGAGCAATGCATGTTAAAGTGGTGTAAAACTCATGCTGATGTTTAACTGATGTGTTCTTTATCAGATGGATTTTCCTATGAAAGAGAGGCGATGGAGAGCTGGATCAGCGCTTCTGATCGCTCCAGCCCGATGACCAACCTGCCTTTACAAACCACGATACTGACCGTCAACAGCAGGAAGAGCAGCCACTGACTGCAGCTTACCAGAGCTGATGACTGCATGTACAGGTGGATACACTCTTAAAAATATCAGCATAAAGCTTCCAAAAGGGTGTTTTCACAGTGATGCCATAGAAGAAACATTTTTGGTTCCCCAAAGAACCTTTCGGTGAAGAGTTCCTAAAAGAAGCATTTTTTTTCTAAATGTGAAGAACATTTGAATAATCTAAAGAACCTTTAGAGAATGGAAAGATTCTTAAAGGTTCTTTATGGAATCATGAATACCAATAAAGAACCTTTACTTTTAGTAGCATAGATAAATTCGATGCTCAGTTCATTCTCATTGACATTAAATGTCTAAATTGACACTTTAGTAATCCGAGGATCAGTACAACATCAACAGACTTCAAGCAGCTGTTCATTTTGCTTTGTTCTTGTTCATCTCTTCACGAGCGAAGTGGCATTACTGTATCTTAGTGCATACAGCTCTTTCTGTATGACGGGCCTCAATGGCGTTGCTCAGCCGAGGGTAATTTGAGGTGTTCGGGTTGAACAGGCACTGCAGAAGTCAAGCTAATGTACCTTGATTTAGTAGAGTAGAGAGGTTCGATGGAGGTCAGAAAGACATTTAACTGTCTAAATGCATTTCTACTCAAAATAGCTCATGGAGAGAACATTGCTGAGCATTCTGGGAAAAGCTTTTACCAGTTGATGCCACGTTTTTTCATCATATAAAGCAAACAGTATTTGTGCTCAAACACTCATGAATAAAATATATAATACACTACCAACAAATTAACTTTTTGATTTAAAGCTGCTTCTTAAATGCTTAAATGGTTATCTTTAGCGTTATAGTTTTTTTTTTATTATTTAAATTTTGACTAGCTAGTAAAAAAAAAAGTGTTCAGCACACATGGAAACTTCAGTCTGTGACGTTAATATTGTGTGAGAAATAAAATGTAATATTAAATGTGGGCCTTATAACATATTTGATTTTGGCAGTTTTATTTTCTTTTTCTTATTTCCTGAAATGGAAAATTTATTTTAAATACAGATTGCGTAAGAGATCACAACCCATGAGACAGCAATTGCAAAAAAACCTTTTACATTTATAAAAAATTTTATAAAAACGACTACATAAAATATATTGTATTTATGAAGGCTTTAATATTGAGTGTGGGAAATAAAATGTAATATTTAATGTAATATGCATGTGTCCATGTTCTGGATGTTCTCCAGATAATGACAATTTAGTTTCATTTTCATTTTTTAAATCTTAACTAGCTTGTCCAAATTACAATCTAACACTTAACAGTGATTAATAATAATGAAGAAATACTTTTTTCCAGTGGGATTTTTTTATTTCCCGTAAATGGATCATGGCAGAAATGAATTCATTTTAATACAGAATGCAGTAACAGATCACAACTCGTGAGGCACCAATTGCAGAAAAAAAGAATGTATATACACATTTTCAAATATAACATCTGCTCATCTCAAACTTATGATTTTTCATATTTTTTCTCCAGTTCCTTCACATAAACTTTAGCATGCGCTCACATCAATATGGCCTCCATAGTTTCGTATTCGTAAAACATTTCTGGTTCATATTTCTTTTAAAAGTAGCTGTGCAAAAATAACCATATAAAATATATTGCTTTGACAGATACCAAGCAGGAGGCGCCGTAAATAAATTAATCTAGACAGGAATAACAAGCAGGAACGAATAGACTTTAACATCGTAGGGCAAATTCAAATGTAATGTACAAACATACAAACAGACCAGGTACAAGTTCAATAACCACAAACATCACGTCAACCAAAAATGCATGAAAAACTCAGTACACCTTTTTTTTTTTGTAAATAAATGGTCAAATACACCATCTTCACATAAAAGGTGGAAAATACACATTGCAATAATATTTACAGTACATAGTGGAGGGTCTGATCTGGCAACATGAACCCTTTATGCACAGGATCAGTTCTCCATCGGTGTCTCAGATTCAGTGTGACGCAGTGATCGAGCCCCGCTTCAGGCGTTTACGGTCCACTATGGTCTTTTGAAGGGCTTAAAAAATCTAAAATAATCATCCTGGATGCTGGAGTATTCCATGTTCACAGGGCTTAAAGAAAACACGAGTAGAAACAAACCCATAAATCAGTTATGACTTAACCAATTAACAGAAGTTTGAACTTCAGAATATACATTTCATATATTTCTGAGTGAATATTGTGTTTATGAATGCTCTCTAAATCTTTTTATATATAAAAGCTATATATACAGGTGCATCTCAATAAATTAGAATGTCGTGGAAAAGTTCATTTATTTCAGTAATTCGACTCAAATTGTGAAACTCGTGTATTAAATAAATTCAATGCACACAGACTGAAGTAGTTTAAGTCTTTGGTTCTTTTAATTCTGATGATTTTGGCTCACATTTAACAAAAACCCACCAATTCACTATCTCAACAAATTAGAATACTTCATAAGACCAATAAAAAGCACCTGTATATATATATATATATATGGCACTATATTATTACTTTTTATGATCTTTCAAACCTTTTGATCTAATGGCTTGAAATTTTGTAGACAAATATAAATTGCGCCAACATATGAATTTCTTTATAAATCTTACATTTGAATTAAAATGGATAAGTTGAAACTGTATTATTCTACAATATGGAAAATAGAGCGTAAATGTGCCCAAACTTTTTGATTCTATATATTTTATATATCTATACTTTACCATATACATACAACTACCATTCAAAAGTTTGGAGTGCCAAGGATTTTTTTAATGTTTTTGAAAGAAGCCTCTCCAAAGCTGCATTTATTTGATCAAAAATACGGTCAAAATTGTGAAATATTATTACAATTTAAAACAGCTGTTTTCAATGTGAATATATTGTAAAATGTAATGTATTTCTGAGATCAAAGCTGAATTTTCAGCATCATTCCTCCAGTCTTCAGTGTCACATGATCTTCAGAAATCATTCTAATATGCTGATTTGCTGCTCAAGAAACATTTATTATTATTATCAGTGTTGAAAACAAATTTTTTTTCTTCAGGATCCTGATGAATAGAAAGCATTTATTTGAAAAAGAAATCTTTTGTAACATTATAAATGTTTTTACTGTCACTTTTGATCAGCTTAATGCATCCTTTCTGAATAGAAGTATTAATTTCTAAAAAATAAATGTTTTGAATGGACAGTAGTGTGTATATGTATGTGTGTACGTGTATGTGTATACAGGGGCTGGAATCGTCCTCAGATCAGATGCCTTCATCTGAAGTGTGTTTTCTAGGGTTGTTGCATATAAACGTCCTAAACATTCGACTCTATAAAGGATCTCTTTGGTTTCATTGCCGCTACATGAATGGTGGGGTTTTCACGAGTTAAGCCGGGCTGTTTGCTCATACTGTCCATGAATGAATGTGCCATAGCCAGAACCGGTTTGCTTTCTTTATGGCAGAACTCTTTAGCATGCAGACTCCCGTTGTGCAGGCCGCCCATGGCGGGACCTTTGAGCGGCTCGTAATAAGCTCCAGACGGTTTGCCGTACACGATCTCACCCGTCAGACCCGCAGAAGCGACGAGTCTTTCAGTGGAGTGACTCTGCCAACCTCGAGAAGCCACCGGCTGCTGCTGCTGAAATCGAGCCGTTTTGTCCATGATTCCCATGAACGGACGGGGTTTGTACTCCACAGAGCCGGTCTGGCTGATCTTAGGCTTGTCCGATGCGGTTTTGGTGCGCACGTCTGGGCCTTGCACTTTCCCGCTGTCTGATAAACTGCTGCTGGACGCCAGGCTGCTGGTGGAGCTGGAGACCCTCATGCTGGCGTCTTTTCGCAGCTCTTGACTTTGAGCTCCAGAAGTCGCGGAAAGAAGCGTCCCTTCTAGAGACTGAGTTTTGGACGAGTGCACTTGGATGTCTGCATCGTTGTTTGCGGGCAGTAACGGGCTGATGTCGATGCCCGGTCCGGCCTTTAGCACGCTGGATATGTGCCGGCTGGGAATCGGGCTGGACGGAGCATATTGCGATTGGCTCTTTGTGTTTGTCGGTCGTGCGGATCCCGCCCGTAAGGATCCCAGATGCTGGCTGGTTTTGACGATCTGCGCCTGTTTGCTGGGCTGCAGGACGAGGCTCTTCTGGTGCTGATGTCGGAGGCTTTGCCTGTGAGGCGGCGAAACCGAGCGGCCGTTTGAAGTCCGGTTTAGCGAGTAGATGTTTTGAGACCAGGCCTCAGAGTCGTCATCCTCCTCCTCCTCCTCGTCATCGACGCGCTCCGTCCTGTCGTCCTGCTCTGGATCGGCATGCTCCGGGTTGCTCAGGCTCTGGTGTTTGCACTCCTCCTCGACGCGGGCCAGCAGACGGCAGATCTCACGGTTGTTGGGGCAGAGCTTCGAGGCCTCGTGCAGGTCGGCTAACGCTGCGGTGAACTGTCTGAGAGCAGAGCGTTCAGAAAGAGATGGAGAGAAAATCGTAAGAATAATTGAGACTGGAAACGCAAACAATTGTTTTTGTTAGAGTGACAGGAAAATTAACCAATCATTCAAATCAAAACACTAGTGACAAGTTTTGTAAAATTATTTTATAGTTATTTCTCGATTATTAGCAACTAGCAAAAAAAATTATACAACATTTAGATACAATATTTCACCCTCTCGCTCCAGCCAGGGTCTTGTAATGGCTGAATTATATATATATATATATAAATAACAATTGCATAATATATATAATTTTAATAAAAGTTTAAATTTATCATTAATAATTATAATTAACATTTTAAACAACAACTTCTCACTCCATTCATCATCTTGTATGGCTGAATTATATTTAAAATTATATTTACATAATACACACACATAAATATAAAACAATTTTTATTATTTTACTATTATTTTTATAGATACATTTGTATTTTATAATTATAATCAAAATTTCTCTCGCTCCAGCCACCATCTTGGATCTTTTACTGAATTAATTATATTTGAAATATACTGTATATATATATATATATATATATATATATATATATCA